TTTGGGGAGGTGGAGTAAAGGCTGATAACAGCTAGATGGTAAAGTATGAAAAGTCTCTACGGTTTCTATCTGACAGAAAAGGAAAGGCTCTCCTCTGGTCCCCTGTGAAGCAATTTGTTGAGGCAGCACATAAATTACACAGCCAGGCTTGGGTGTCACTTATTACAGACAGGTCAGACCCTGATTGAAAGGTCTAGATATAAAAAGCATCTCTGATTTGTCTCTTTCCTGTGAAATGTTACTCACAAGGAGTGGGAGGAAATGCTATGAATCATTGTCAACAGTGAGTCACACGCAAAAATCATTCATAGGGTTTTCAAAATCTGGAATAGTCACAGAAAGATATCTACTGTGTTTGACAAGAAGAGGGTGTCTGGTCTTACTGCACAGCAAGCACTGTAAATGTAATTTAAAGATCCAGTGTGTAGGATTTAATGGCATCTAGCGGTGTCTCCATCGCTTCACCCTCCCCTTCCATGTGTGAAGGAGAACCTGCGGTTGCCGCGGAACGTGTGGAAAATGGAAACACCTCTATCTAGAGCCAGTGTTTGGTGGTCTGATCTGGGCTACTGTAGAATAATGGCAGCCGTCATGGAAGGCAACCTGTGGCATCTGTAGATAAAAACGGCTCATTGTAAGGTAACAAAAACACAGTATTTCTTAATTTCAGGTGATTATATACTGATGAACATATATACCTGTTAGGGGTTAGACAATCTGACACTAGATACATGGGCTACGATACGATTCAGGCACGATGCACATACAATGCAATCTGATACAGTTCTTAATATTTGTTTAATGTAGACATTTGTTTTTAATTCTAAATTAAAATGAAACTTTGCTTACCTTTAAATACCTGGAATTCCCAAGTATTTGTTTTCCTTATGGCATAGGGAAAAAAATGGAAGACAAATGTATTTGAAAATGTCATTTCAGAATTACATGTCATTGTGTTTATTGCTTTCTCAACAGACACAGACAAAGAAGCCTTTTGCTGTGATTACCTTAGACTTCTATCTATATCATCATCATCTATATCAGCATCTATAACATGTTTGACTCATATTGGTATATCTTTACCCTTATACCTATGAATATTATATTCCATTTCTACCAATAGATCCTCCTAATTGTTACACACTGGACCTTTACCAGGCAGCCTGGATATTTACTTATTGCTAAACACAAGAAAATAAAAAGAAACCTCTAAGGTTCTAATAGTTTTTTTTAAATCCCTGTCAGTCACAGTTTCAGTTAGTATCCTTGTAGCTATTCTACATACTGTGCCCATACATATGAAAATAACAAGTGCAGTTGTTGCTGTCAATCACAAAATACGACAACAATACAACAATTCTCAGTGAGAGACAACACGCATGACACAAAGCAGCTTACACTGTGTCGCAGATTAAAAAAACATAAATAATCATTATAAAAGGTGCTGTGAAGTATACACAGCGAGGGTGACAGGTTAGTCTGCACTTCAAAGATTCTTTTTTCAGCACACAATAATCGAATAAATTACATGTTGCATTGTGGTATGCTTCTTTGTTATGGAACAGTGAGAAAAACAAAATGGTGTGAGCTCGTATTGTGGCTCACATACTGAAGTGCTCAAGTCCTTCATATTTTCAGTTTAACCCTTGTTGATGAATCTGATTGTGACAATGACAATAGGACATCAAAAGGCATCCTCTCATTTTCCTTTCACAGTCATTCGATGAGGTTTGGTTGAAATCCACTGAACTGTCCCCTATATTGTAACAATAGCCGACTCAACGACAAGCTCGGATTATAATAGGCGCTGTTGCTGAAACAAAAGCTGACGTAGAGTGTTTCTGTCCCGCACACAACAGCTGGAACAGCATATACACATAAATACAGACAAAATCATTCTCAGTGTTTTGGTGGCATTACAGCAGTTCCAGAGCAGGTGACACTGAAGCATCTGGAGTTTTGAGTGTGTTTTACTGTATATTCCCTTTCTTGGCCGGGAGAGGGAAGTTTCTGGAGTCTCCGCTGGTTGCCTGGCAACTTCACGGTGATGACAGGACAGGAAGACCCCCATGCTCACAAACCCCATCGCAAACCTCTGTGTCTGATTTATATAGTATAAAATAGTATACAAGTATAAAGAAATCACATTTTTAAGAGACAAGGCTGCTAAACCTATAAAAAACAACCCCAAAAAAATATCTTTATCAATATCGCATCTGCAGTCATTCTCATATTAGGTTTTGTCTTTAAACGTTTTTGACTTCTCAGAATGTCAACCCGAAAGAGGTTCTTTCTGAGACCATGTAATGTATGAGCCCGTTCTCATTCCCAGGGCATCAAACCTCGTCATTTTGTCACGCTCCCCAGCGTCTTGTACAGACGCACCATGTACCCTGGTGCTGTAGGGTAAAGAGCCATATAAAGAGGCGTGGATGAACAGGTCATTTACAAGATTTCCACCCAGGAGACCAGGGTTAATGTCCTGTGTGAAACCAAAGGTCAGTGTTGACATGCGTCACAGGACTTGTCACAGTAATGGCAACATGACTTGCATCACGTAAGGTACTTATTTGAACCTAAATTATGTTCTTTTTCCTAAACCAAGTTGTTTTATTACAGAAACTAAACCAAGTCATGGCCATTATGTCCTGCTATTTTTTTCTCGGTGAACCTAGCACAATAAAACATCTCACCATAAATCTCTCCACTATGATTTGAACCAAATAAAACCTGCTGCTTCTCTCAAAACCTCTTTATAAGTTAAGAAAGAAAACTGACCTGGTAACTATGCAGGCAATGAAAGTTGAGAAGTCACTTTCTCACCCACGTGATTGAAATCATCTAATATTACTGAGCTCTGCAACACTTGCCCAGGTTGTTCAATATCAGGAAGTTCATATTGTAACACTTGGTGTCCCACCGGATTAGTCAGTAATTACATGAAATGAATACTTTAATTATGTAGACGCTTCTGATAACTGCATATTTGCCCTTGGTGTAGTTTGTATTCCTGGATCCTGAGCACATTCTCCACAGATCATGAAACTGAAATCTACCCTCGCCACTTCCTTTCTATTTTGGGGGTTTGGAATTTCACAAGGGAGTTGATTATATTGATAATGATGTGCATATTGCTGGCGTGCCTTCCTCTGGGATTTGTCCTTACATGAATGGCCCCTGGAGTTATCATCTGTAACGATAATGACTTCTCTCTTTTTCTGCTGCTTTACCTGCCAAGGTCCTCAGAATGAGGCCAGAAACCAAATTACTGCTCTCTATGGTCTGGACGAAGAGAAAGCCCCTGCAAAAATGTGTCACATCTCAGGTTTCTATCATTATTTTCTTGTTTGACCCAGTGGTACTACAGTAATAGAATTTGACTAATGCACCGTGGAGTGTAGATTTTGGGAGGGCCTCTACACTTCCATTTAGAAGTCCCACAGTCCCATTGGAAAGAGATTCTGGGTGTACTATCCTGAACACGAAACCTACCAAATCAAGAAATGCTTGGTCTCTACAAGCTGAGACAACCAAACACATTTAAATAATTGTTTCAGTATTGATGTAACACTATTCTCTTGTAATCTCTTACAGAAGGAGTTTAATTTTAGCAGTTGTTTACCATTCAGAAATCATATTTTTAATGACAACTCAGGGTTTCAAGGGCATCTTCTCTTTCAGTTCTTTAATTATTCTTTAATTATGTTGAGAGCTTTTACTTTATTTACTTTTATCCGTGTCTATGTGATGTTTTTTTTTTTTTTTTAATTGCTTTTGTCAGAAATGGTTTTCTTGCCCAGAACTCAATTAAAAAATAGGTGAAGCTCAAAGTCATTACCTTGGTTGAATAGAGGAGAAGTAGAACTAAATTAATCAAATTTAAGCTGAGGGCAGGAATCTCTGAAAGCAGTGACGCCAGTGGGCGAGGTGTAGCATCCTCATTTTGGTTTGGGTCCAGAGTGCAAGGACTTTCCGACAAAATAATATGTAACATTTATTGCAATAAAATTAAGGGTTGGAAATATTTGTGGACTGATAATGGATATTTTTGTGACTAAGATGTAATGACCTCTTGTTTTTCTTTTCTTTATCAAAAAGTTTTATGCTCTTTTAGTCCTCTACGTGTGTGTCCTTCTTCTAACTTCATTGTAATACACCTAGACATGCCTTGTGTATGAAATGTTTTTTTATTTAGCCCTTTATAGATTTTAAATTATCAGTGTTAGGACTTAGTGGCATCTACTGCTGTCTAATTGCAATGCCCTTGCCTCACCCTCGCACTCCAAGCATGTAGAACACGAAAAAAAAAAGCCCCTAGCTAGAGCCAGTGTTTGGTTTGTCCTTTCCTGGCCACTGTAGAAACATGGCGGTCTACCATAGCAGAGGACCCGCTCCCTCTGCAGATAAAAACAGCTCATTCTGAAGTAACTGAAACATGATTCTTATTTTCAGGGGAATATACACTAATGAAAATATACCTATGAATATTATATTCTGTTTCTGCATACAGATCCTACATGTTCCACACTGGAGCATTAAAACTCAATGATATGTCTACATGGTGTTCACAACTTGTTACCACTGCACCCAAGTGGCCAAAAAATCAGTTATTGCACTTTTAAGCAAGTATAGTTTACTTTACTGGGATCATGCATGTTTCTGGTGAAAACATTACACACTTTAAATACTGCTTGTTTGGCATCTAAATAATAACTATGAGCAAAAATGTTGGATTCTAAAAGGACTCTACTGATAGGAGAGTCAATGATAGTATATGTAGGGTTAAAATGCAAAAATAAGTATATAAAAATAAAGACAGAACGCAGGCCATCAAATGCTACACATGCATGAATAATGATACTTAAACTAGATGCCATGGAGATGAGGCGGAAACAGTTGCAAATAGTTTGATATAAGGGGGGGTGGTCTGAATCTCGCTGTCCTTTATTGGCGTGGAGAAAAAAAACAGACAGACGCACTTTGGAGTTCACTGCTGGGACGTGTAGCAGTCCTTTCATCCACAGTGCAGGCTGTGTGGCTCGCTGCTCCGCCCGACATCCTCTCTCCTCTGCACTACTGTCCTGTCTCCTCTCCTGAACAGGTAAGGCATCCGTCAAAGTTATTGTGCAATGCAATGGTGGGCGATGTTTGTACAGTTCAGTGTGTATCCTGCCTGCCTGCACGTTGCAGCGCACAGATAATCCACTGCCTCTCCTTTGCCATGCGTCTGCACAGGTACCGTGTAACTGTTATAGGATGAGATAATCCCTCTTTGATGCTTTATACTCTCATAGATCACATTTTTTTTTACGCATTTTGAAGAAAGTTAAGAATCAGCAGCCAACAGTGTATTCCGTGCAGGAGTGAAACATCGTGATCCTTTGCGCATTCTGCCAGGCTGCAGCGCACAGTTAGAATGAGAGCGATTTCCCCCGCGTTGTGGTTAGTGAGAGGTTACCGTTAATGTAAGAATTATTGAGTTTGCAAGATGCACATGTGGTGTGCACATGTTTGTGGAGGACAGTGGTGAAGGTAGGAGTGAGGTGCGCCTTTTCTCTCCCACATTCCATCACTATTGAGATGATCAGACACCTGCAGCGAGAGATCAGAGATTGTGAACGAAGGCTTTCTCAAAGTGCTTTTTCATGGACTACTCTGGTATTTTTCTCATGTAATAATATGAGAAATACAATTAGAAATGTATACGTGTATTTATGTCTCAATGCATTCGGAATCAAAGTAGCCTAACTAAATCAAAAATAACCTAAATGGGATAAGGGATGAAGACCTTGATAATAAATTCTGTAAAAGCCTTAGAGGGTGACAGAATCGTGCCCACCTACAGTATTTCATTTTGTGACTGTGTGTGTGTGTGTGTGTGTGTGTGTGTGTGTGTGTGTGTGTCCTAGATGTGCTTGCAGTTCTCTGATATCTGGTTTATCTCATATTTGAAGTGCTGCAGCCCTCAACTCCTCCATCAGACATCTTGATCCATTCATGTTAGTTTGGTTGTTTTTCGTGCTGAGATATAGGGATCATTAAAGTGAAAAAACTACCCCACACACACACTCACACCCACTCACCCCTCTCCCACCCAGGAAGGTACTACAGCATAATAAATATGCCATTAGCCATTTTCATTCAAATGCAGTCCCCCCCAAATTGTATTCAATGATCATACTCCTCTGTCACTTAGTCCAGTGAAATGATGATTAATATGCCACTTTGTGGCTTAATTTCTAAGCACTGACTTAATAAACCTGCCACGTTCATGTAGCCCCGTTGATTACTCTCAGGAGGGTCATCTAGAGAATACATATGGGCCCCTTCACATCCTCATCACCACATAATGACAGAGGCAGGCAGACTTTGGCCACCAGGTTCCCTTCATTCAAAAAGCCATAAACAATTCACAGCAGTAGTTTTAGTCTTGTTCCACCTGGAATGCGGTGTAGTCTGCATAAAATACAGTTGATACACCAACATAAAGTTCAATCTGTCTGTTACTGTCTGTCCTGCAAAATGAGCACATACACAATGTTTCCCAATTTGTGGTCTATGAACTTCCAGGTGTGCTTCGGGGTGTTTCTGTGGAGCAGAGGTGAACACAATGATAAATTAGATTTTTAATAATGCCCAATCAGAGTGATTATATTATATGATTTATTTGTAGTACACTGTATTTATTTAGGAGGATGAAATAAAGGCATACTGTACACGCCAATGCATTCCCTCCCATTTCACAATATTAACCTTGTTGTTTTGGGTTATCACCTCATGTTGCCAGGCCTCTCTGGGTTTTTGCTCAGCAGCGGCAGTCTGAGCAGGTAGGTAGTGCGGGCTGAAGGCTAATCTTCACAGGGGTGATAGAGATAACAGTGATGTATGGAGCGGATGGGGTGGTTTAACACCCAGAGCTGACTGTTGTCTAGCGGGGTCAGGTTTGTGATACCGGAGTACTGCTTCAGCCAGCTCCTCTCATGCCTGGGATTTGGCAGTCTTAATAGCTGCAGGTGGATACAAGCAGAGGCTTCCTCTGTATTCACAGCCTGCAGAAGCCTTGATGAATGCTGTGTTGCTGCTCAGGCATCTGTCAGTCGCTTCTGCTCTCCAAGTAAAATACTTCTTTGGCCAGCAGCCAGACAGGCAGCCGGTGGTTACTGTGACATGGTTATGCTGCATTTTACTGCTACGTTTCACAGTAAAACTGACGGCTGTTTTTTTTTTTCCGAAAGGAGAAGTTACACCTGAAAAGGATCTCAGTTGCACAAGCACACCTCTACTGTACCTTGGTGTGAAGTAATTACATGACCACCTTGGAAATACATAGTTTATGATCTTACATGTGTATAAAAAGTAGGGCGGCACGATTTGATAAAAACATCATATTGCGATTAGTTTGACAGATACTGCAATTGTGCTATGATTCACAATTAGTATAATTTATGCACTACAAATGTAATTTTCACTAAAAAAACATATTCAAATCATGAATTTTGTGGGGTTCTGTACCAAACAAACATGTTTTCTTAAATCTGAAGAACAAGATTTGTAGGCCAGGCCATCTCATCAGAACTACAGTATTTCATTATAATGTTGTTTTGTCACACATTTTACCTTTATCAAAGAATTGCAGTTTCGGCAATTTGCATATTGCTTGAATAAAAAGCTAGGCCTTGTAGGGATGAACTAACATAGAATTCTCACCCGTCTCTGCATTTAGCATTTAGCACCGTTAAGCAAAAAAAGGAAGCTACAAACGGGAGGCAAAGTTAGCAACTAGCTTGTCAACATGTTGCGCATAAACATTTTGCATCTATATGACCATTTATCAAAAGTTCTCAAAATCATGAATTTGGAACATATTATATTGTAAATAATATTACATGTCTAAATCATCGTGACACAATTTCACTGAAAGTCAGTAAATTATAATATTAACCTATTGTCTTTCCTACTACACATGTGACACCTGTCAGTTTATATTATGTGTTATGGCTCTTATAATCTCCCGACACTTCACAATGTAGATGTGGTCTTGCACATTTAGTGTGTGTGAACATTGATAACAAATTCTGTAATATTGGCAGTATTGTTTTGTGAGTGAGCTAATTTGTAATATTTTGAAAAATGGAATACTATAGGTTTAGTACTTAGTAGTCTCCTTGGTCTTTTCGTTTGTAGCAACATCAGATTATTTCTGTGACATACTGTAGCTGGGAGGAAGAACTGGACAGAGATATCGATCAAATGTGACCAGATCACACCTAAGAGGCCCCACAGGCTCTAGATTAAAAGTAATTTTTCTTTATTAGAAATAACCTTTTGGTCAAGGTGGCTCTGGTTGCTTAATGAAAGAATGCACACCAGAGACGGCATATATTATTTGATGTTGTCATTTCATTTGATTGTTGTCAGCTTAAGATGAATCCAGAGAAGAAGTGTGATTATTACGGTGTGATGATTGATTGGCTGCTGTCTATGCACAGCCCAATGTGTTAGAAGGTGTCATTTTAAAGAAATCTACCGGTGTAATAACTAGGATAAAAATGCCAGCAGCAAAACACTGGATGGACCGAAAACGAAAAATTGATAGATCAGACAATTGTAATCTTTTTAGCTGTCTTTTGTTGCTCCCATTTGATCAGGTGCTTAATATGGTGCGCAACATTGATGTATAAATCTTACTATTTGAGGCCAACTATGGAGCTCCCTTAAGAGTAGCATTTTATAAAATGACGCATAAAGACAATGTATATGTATTACAATATATACTGTTGGAGTATTCTGAATTGAGTGCGTTCTCTTCTGAAACATTTAAGTTTTTTCACATTTTAACCCTATCCATGGAACTAATAACTGATAACTAGCATTGTAAATTCTGGTTATACTCTTGCCTTCACTGTGAAGAAGGGTTTCTTGTAGGGCTGCCACTAATGACTATTTTTTATTTTATTTTTATTTAACCCGGAAAAGTCCCATTGAGTTCCAATAACTCTTCTCCCAAGGAGTCCTGGCCAAGACTTTTCATTATCAATCTGCAAATTATTCAAACCCTGGCTGCTGCGGTAAGGACTCAGCCTTTATACATGGGGCACCATAGATATAGAAACATAAATAACTCATTGGCCACTGCTGTATGCCGCCACTATACGTCTTTGCGGTCGCCATATTGCGGAGGTCAAGATCCGCTAGTCAATAATAATAAGAGAAGCAGAGTTCACTACAAAATCTACTGGAACTCCAATTTTCATGAAATTTGGTTTGTTACGAGAAACTGAACGTGATACTGGTTACTTGTAGGAATTAATTCATTTACTGGGGGTGGATCTGTGTGCAGCATTTGGATGAAGAAACTGACAAAATATTTAAAACAACCCTAGCAGTGGTTGACCAGACCAGCACTTTGGCCAAAATACAGAATTAAATTAATGAATACATGTACACATCAATTTGAGAATGCGGCATCTACGTGTCTTTATCCGTGGTGCACGCTCTGCCAGGTCAGCTACCAGGCTCCCCGAGTGGAGAGATTTTCTGACCCATAATGATCCAAAACTTGTTTTCAAGGTTTGTACAGCCTGACGAGAATTTGATTCTGCATAATAGTGACCGAGATAGATGCAATGTTTACTGCTCTCCAGCCACAGTAGTCAGGAGCAATTCAGAGGGAGGCTGGAGGTGCAGTGTGAGGACATGTGGCAGGGCTGCAGGAGGCCAGGTAAGCAGGACAGAGTGGTGACCTTCACTCTCTGATAGAGACTGACAGAAGCTTGATGGAGGCTGTGCAGCCAGAACCATGTTGAATTATTACTGACATGGAGCTGCAAGAAACCTTAAAGCTCAGGGAGGAACATTTTACACTGTGGTATTGGAATTAACGATAGAATCCGACCAGTAGCCGTCTCAAACAAACCATTAGCTCAGCTGCTTGATGCCAACGTGCTACTTGTCTGCTCTTGAGTCCAGCAGTGTACTGCTAAGTTGACCTGTGCAGTGCAACATGTAAACAGTTCACACCTTGGTTTGATTTGTTATTTGCGTTTCTCAGCAAAATTGTTACCTTTGGGTGATCTGCCTTTGTCTAATGCTCTCTGGCAG